AACGTAAATGATGCGTAGCAAGCAAATGGTTCTAATGCTCCATGCAGTTTCCATGCTCGAGAGAAATTATCGTAAAATACCTCCTTAACCATTAGGTTTAATTTAAGACCAGTGTGTGGCTTAATACTTTCTTTACTTGGAATTTAATTTTATTCTCTCGATTTACGATGGTTAAAACAAAATGAAGATGAAAATCTCGGAAACGCTATATTTTGCCGCACGAAATACATTTTCTTTTTTTTTTCCCAATTAAACAATTTTTCATTGGACGCGTAATTTAACATTTATTTCACGTGTGCAAGCTACTCTGCTTATCCTCGTGATACCGATGTGTCGATGAAACCAGCACCGGAATTCCCGAGTATGCCGTTCGAACGACGAATCGTCGTAACCTTCGGTGAAAGAATTCCTTCGGAAGCGGAAAGTAGAAATCCAAATGACGGAAATGTTTCGACGACGAAGGTACGGTACACAGCGAGGCAACCGTACCGATTTATTGGATAAACGGAGGTGGAGGTTTTATTCATCGAGTTAACGGTATCGCAGTCCTCCGCGACGATTTGTAAGGATTCGCTGGCCTTGCTGGCATTCCACGACGAAAGTAACGCGGTGCAACAAATGCCAGGCAAATACCAAACTGGCACCTTTTTCCATTTGCTCGCGAGCAAATGTCAAAAGCGGCGCCGTTTGCCACGCGATATGGGAAAATATGTATTTTACAATCACCCCCACAGTCGACAGAGTTTGTAAGAAAAAACGAAAATGGAGAATAAAACTTTCTTTCTTTTTCTTTCTTTTTGAGGAAATTAAGTTTCCAGGTTAAACAGTGATTATTGTTCTAGGGCGTCGTCCGTTGTCTCACTTCGCTTTCTAAAATCATTTCGGCGAAACACGACAGAAATAAAAATGTAACAGTTGCGTCACTTGCAACTGTTAGATAATTGCATCGGCGTAACGTATGCGTCAGTGGCAGCGTATAGCCACAGTGTATTAGCAGAATTATCTGCCAACCAGGAAACTTCTGCAATGACGAGACTGAAGACAAATAGGATGCCTGAATGGTAAATTATC